TATACCAAGACAGCTACCAAATCCACCACCTTGATTGGTTTCATCCAAGTGTCCTGAATAATCATATCTAAATTAAAGAGGTTTTACTTTAGGTACTCTGCCACCTTGCAAAAATAAAGTCCCCAAAATTAATCTACACAAGACAAAGCCAGCCTTTCCCCTCTTCTTCATCCCCCAGCTGTTTGTATTTCAACTAGAAGTTTTTTTAAAAAAAAAGGGTTGGCACATAACCTACCCAGTGCAGATACTGTTTCCCAGACACTTCACTACCTCCTAGTGTCCGTTTTCATGAAAATACCTTACTTTTTGTATTAATTTACAAGTATTCTATTTTCTCAGAAGTTAGATACACCTGTTAGGTGACTTATATGTAAGTCCAGCCATTTTCCCTAGAATTCTCTTGATAAAGAATTTGAAGAATTTTGGACTTCTTGCATGGATTTCCAACTTGCAGTTCTTTTGACTTTCTGCCCTCAACAAAGTGTTACCAGATGGCACTAATACCAGCTTTGAAGGAAGATAGAAGAAACTTTTGGTTTCAAATTTTCCATCTTCAGGAGGTTCTGGGGAAAGGAAAGCTTTTAAAAGTGAAAAGGCAGCAAAATGAGACAAAAGGTGGAATATAAACATATGCAGATTTAGTTAGCCTATGCTAGGCAGGCCCTAGGACAGGGGAGATCTGCACTCTCAGTTTCCTTGATGTCCCCCAGGCCAGGGCAGGGACTGCCCTCCAGCTTGTACTGTCAGCCTGAGGAAGTTGTCCTCAATTTCACTGGAGCTCTTAATTTCAGTCTATAATAATTAAAACATTCTTATAGCAACTTTAAATACCAAGTAAATTATTTGTTTAATGAAGAAAAGAAATATTAAAGGGAATCCATAGTTTTCAAAAGCAGCTTTTGGGAGTTAGAATTCATTTTTAGCCCCTCCTTTTTTATATTTATTTATTTATTTATTTTGGTAACAGGGATTGAATCAGGGGCACTCAACCACTGAGCCACATCCCCAGTCCTTTTTTTGCATTTTTTTTTTTTTTAGAGATAAGGTTTCACTGAGTTGCTTAGCAACCCGCTAAGTTGCTGAGGCTGGCTTTGAACTCATGATCCTCCAGTCTCAGTCTCCCAAGCTGCTGGCATTACAGGTGAGCGCCACCGCACTCAGCCTAGTTCCTTCCCTTCCCTTCCCTGTCATTATTGTTCAAGGAAAGAAGTCAACGAAAGTGTTCTATGTCAATCTGCTGGGCCCTTCTCAGCACTACAAACTCACAGGGAAATCACTCACTTCCCAACTTTCCCAGGTTCTGAGCTGATTAATCAAATATGATAAAAGTATGCTCAGCTCTACTCTTTCCAGTTAGGAAAACAGGCCTTCATGCCTTGAGTCTCTCAAATTTTATTCATAAATGGCAGCAAGAAAAAAAAAGCACACATTCTCTACAAGAGAAGCAGATAGTCTTTGATGGAATCTTGTATCTACTGAATTTTGTTCTATAACTCCCCTATCATGATGAAAGATCTGCCTCTTGGGACTCCTCCTTCTGAAATGATTGTCAGACTGAGAGAAACAGAAAGTCTGGTGGTCCATTTTCAGAATATAGTATTCAGCCTTCATTGGATTCAATTATAGCCATTTTAATTGTAGTGCTTCCCTTTGCCCGCCCCAATTTTAAAATTAGCCAATCACGTAGATTGTAACCCCATGCTCCTCCAATCAGGGTGAAGGGCAGTGTTGTGTGAGAGATACAAACAGATGTACTGCCTGCTCAGGTACTTGCTAGGCAGGTTCTGTAGCTCACCTTTCTGGCAGAAGTAAAGTTTGCCTTGCCCACCCACTTTGGAGTAGGCACTTGGGTATTTCTAACATGACCTTTCTGGCAGCTTCAGATCATGTCTATCATTTGTATAACTTTAGCCTGTTCTAAAACTTTGGATTCTCTTTAATCACTTTTTTCTTCATTAAACAAATATTTGATATGGTACTGTAGATTGCTATAAAATGTTTTAATTATTTAGAAGTTCTTCATTGGCTATGTCAAAATTTGTGCTGCTGTAAGCATAACTATAAACCATCAGTTTTCATTCTTACTAAAGCACTGTTCTACTAAAATGTTGAAATTTATTTGCTCTAAGTAAATTTTGGCTGCTTTCAGTGAGATAAAGATCCGTGCAAATAGCTTAGAGACATGAACTGAATCTATTTGTCTGAATGACAATTACAGTATTAGTCTTGATTTTAAGTGAATTTTCTTCTGATCCTCTGACCTCAAGGACAAAATAAGTATTTCCCAAAGAAATAAATCTGTCAGGAGCTTTTTATTCAGATCATTGTTACTTTAATTGGAAATATTTTATCTGTAAAATGAGCAGGCTTGCTTTTGACTACACATCAAACATGAAGGCAAGATTGAATTTTCTAGGAGAGTGGCCAAATTGGTTTGAAATACCTTATACATCAAGACAGACTGCTTTTTAGTTTGCTGTGGTGCCAAGCCTCTTGGGCTCAAACTCCAGCTCCAAAATTTACATTTTAAATGATCTTGAGTTTATTATTACGTAATCTCTTTGGGCCTCCATTTCCTCACATGCAAAATGGGGATTATAAGAGTAACTGCATTATTTGATGTAGTAAATGCTGAGTTGCTACATGTGAAATAAAAATTGGGTTTAATAAGTCCCTTCAAAATTAATGTATTTTTCCTTAATTTTTTCGAAAGGAAACAGAAAAATAGCTTATAGATTTTTGATATCCTGTCTTAACCAAAGAAACCAGACAAACTGAATTATGCTATCCAGACATGAAAAAAAGACTTATTTTCATGTGCATTATTAGTGCTTGTTATTCTAAAGCAATGTGGATAATATGAAATGACCACTTTTATTGCCTATTTAGGGTTAACATTATATAATTATTTGATATCACATTTATTTGCATTCATAGATAAGATGAAATGGAAGCAAAGGATGTGGTGGTCTGAGAGACTAAGAGAGAGGGTAAAATTTCACCTGTAGGTAAAGGAAAATTGAGCCTGTATAAGATACTTGATAGGTCTCTAGAAATAGCTGATTAATATTTTTTATTCCATTTATTGCAATTTGATTCCAAATTTGTAAAGAGTGGATACTTGTGTAGGGAGGCAACCGTGATTGATAAAAGCATGGGAGAAAGAGCAGATGAAAATACTTTTCTAATTATGTAAACCAAAATGTCCATAGTACATTATATCTTTGTGATGAAATTACAAGTGATTTGCTTTCTGTTTTATCTTTTTCTGCATTAGTGAAATTTTGTATGATTAATTTATTTTTTACATTTTAAACATTATTGTACAAAATTTAAATTTTCCATTATTAGGATGACAATTATAAAAAGAATTAATGAAGAATTTTTAAAGTACACTTATTTAAAAGAAGCTTATGCTGGGAATGTAGCTTGTTGTAGAGTACTTGCCAAGCATGCACAAGACCCTGGATTCTAACTCTGGAATGACTAAATATATATCTATGTCTTCATCCATCTATATTTCACAAGTTTTCACCTGTGTTTACATTGTTAATAGTAATGAAGTAAATGAGTCATTTGACAATTTCAAGTTTTTGGAATCATCTTTAGAAACTGTTTGTACATCTTTAATCATCTTTAGAAATTGAAAAGTACACAGGGTATACTTTTTCTATTTGGAGCTTATTTTAATATTGAACCTTGTATATTTTTAAGTATATCTTTTGAAATATGCACAAGCCTCTTGTAAATCACACAATATTTCTCAAAACACATCCCAGTGCATCTTAGAATCACAAAATGTTGTAGTAATAATGCCCCTCAGAGAAGATCTAGTTGCACGGTGGAATACTATGACTTTGCATCACTACTGTACCCATGGAACAACTGAGTTTAAAATCTCTGATGTAGTCAAACTCCCTTAGTTTTCCCATTTGCGTAATGATCAAAATCCCTTCTACAATTCCTTTTTTTTCCCAAGTTGGATTCCAAGGGTTCCTCCCTTGATGCAAAAAGATTTAAATAATATTAGTGACCTGTTGCACCTGCAAATAAATAACAGATGGTAAGAAAAGTACTTATTGACTATGATTAAGCATGGAAAAATAGAGGCAAAGGCTGGGGATGGAGTAGTAGAGTGCTTGCCTAAACACACACTATTAATGATGATGGAGATCGTGTGATGAGGACCTCAAGTTGGATATGGACAGTGACTTTTTTTTTTTTTGTGGTGCTGGGGATTGAACCCAGGGCCTTGTGCATGCAAGGAAAACACTCTACCAACTGAGCCCTAACTTATATTTTTAATGATAAATTATTTGGTATAATCTGAAAAGGAGAAAAATCCTCATTCCTGATTTTTTTAATCTAAAATGTCATAGCAGAAAATGCAGATATCTCCAAGTTTTGAAAAAGAGTCTTGGTGTCTGAGTATTTTAAGGAGGATCCAGGTCAAGCACAATAAAGTATAGATGGTCCCCAGTTACTGATGGTGGACTTTGAATTTTTCAGCTTTGTGATGGTGAAAGGGATAGGCATTCTGTAAAGATCATACATCAAATTTTGAATTTTGATATTTTCCTGGGCTGGTACTATTTGGTAAAATACTCTCTCTCCATCCTGGGCAGCAGCAGGGAGCTTTAACCCCCAGTCAGCCCCTCAATATCCAGGGCAAATAGCCAAGCAACCAGGACTCTACATTGTGCTGTGATCCTAAGCTATGCTGTTCGGTAGGTTAGGTTTATTACAAGAATTTTCAAATTAATGATATTTTCAATTTATGATGGGCTTATTGGGACATCACCCCATCCTAAGTCAACGTTTTTCTATATTCGTAATTTCTTGTCATGGAAAATACAGGCTGTGAGTTATTCAAACCAACAAGTCTGGTTTTGGTCTTTTGTTCATGACATTCATTGAACCCAGAGATTTGCTCATGTAATATCTCCCATCTCTTGATCACACTCATACTGACTTTGACTTCTTTTGTTTTGTATTTTCAGAAGGAGTTTTGGAGCACCTACACAAAAGCGCAACAAGGAGAGAGTAACAGAGGAAGTGACTGGTTTCAGTTTTATCTTACCTTTCCACTAATCTTTGGCCTCTTCATTATCCTCCTTGTCATTTTCCTTATCTGGAGATGCTTCCTAAGAAACAAAACTCGTAGACAGACAGTGACTGAAAGCCACATTCCTTTCCCTCAGCACCTTAACATCATCACTCCACCTCCCCCACCAGATGAAGTGTTCGAGAGCACTGGGTTGTCTCCAGGCTTTCTGGAATATGTAGTTGGGCGCTCAGATTCTGTCTCCACTCGCCTGTCCAATTGTGATCCCCCACCAACCTATGAGGAAGCCACTGGCCAGGTGAACCTGCGGAGGAGTGAAACAGAACCTCATTTAGATCCACCCCCTGAATATGAGGACATAGTCAACTCCAGCTCAGCCAGTGCCATAGCTATGGTGCCTGTGGTCACCACCATCAAATGAAGCTGCAAACTTCTTTTTATTCTAATCATTTTTTAAAATACTAATGAAAGAACTTTCTAGCACTTTACCACTACATAAATGTGTATTGACTTATTTTATTAGACTCAGCATACCACTTCATTCTTACTGGTTTGATTTTTTTTTAGTTTTGTTTCCTATCACAAAATCATTATCCATGCTAATTTTTGCTAGAGGAAATATGTGAAAAAGGAAAAACATACCAGTGAGAGTCTTCATGTGATATATGTATATGTATGTATGTGTATGTGTATATATATATATATATATATATATATATATATACACACACACACACACACATATACATATATCCATGTGTGTGCATCAACCCAGTATATTTGCAACTGTCTTAAAAATCCACTAACTTCTATCTAAATCACTTGTAAAGACAGCATTACTCACCATAACTGGGGAAAAAAGGGCACCAAGAATTTGTCATACATAGCCATAAACAAGGTGTAGAGTTTTGCAAAAAGGATGTACTTAGCATGTTTCCTAATTCTTACGGGGTTTTGTTAACCTATTTCTTCATCTACCTTAAAAGAGCAAAAAAAAGTATGGAGTCATTCTCCATTTTAGAAACATCTCAGAAAAAGATAAAGAGAGCATGTACATGCAGTACTTAAAGAGTTTTAGCAACAAAATCTTTGCTCCTTAGTGGTATCTGGCTCATTTTATACTAGAGATTTTCTTCTTGGTTGACTACCACCCACCACCCACCCCTGCCTTTAAATGTTTTGTCTAGCATCTTTGAATGTCTCATGCTATTTTTATTAATATCTTGGTGGGGAGGATTTCCTGGCAATGGAATAATTTCTAAGGAGGATAAATGTATTAATAACAGGCAATAGATACCAATTAGTCCTTGTTCCTGGGGGGAGGCAGTAATTATTTTCTTCTTGCAATTTTGTTGCCTTATACTGTACTATTAACTCACTCTCTCCTACCACCACAAAATCTTCACGCACCCATGAGTTCAATTAAAATAAAAATTCTGCAATTCTTAATGTTTTTGTACAGTCTGAAGTCTTTGCCTCAAGATGATTACAAGACCACTTGCCATTAAATTATAAACTGTGGTTTTTACATTGCCCTTCAGTTGGTGAAAAAAGACTACAAGATACATGTTGTGGCAGGTGCACACTAAATCTAGTTACAGTCCCACACACATCTCATTATTGTTGCCATTTCATCTTGTATTTTCATCCGATTTTTTTTTAAATGCAGGGTTTTTATTTTTCCCTTAAAGCAGAAGGAACAGGCTCAGAAAGGAAAAAAAAAAAAAGGATCAACTGAGATTGTGCGTATTATAATTTCTCCAACATGGAGAGCCATCCAAGTGTGAGATTCTGGTATTATTATTGTGCTTCAGGGAGAATTTTCTCCCTCTGTTTCCCAAAAATTGATCAGAGCTTTCACATAGTGAGAAATAGAACAGGCATCTCCTTAAATGCCTAACATCTTCCCAGTCTGAGTATGTGAGCTATTGCCTAACCCTTGCTATACTCTGGTCTCTACCAAAGCTGTGCCAACTTAAAAATGATTGCCAACTCAATCAAACAAAGTTTAGAAATGGAAAGGAAAATAAAACATGTGAGTGTAGTTAATAGATGCCCCAGCTTCCATAGACCAAAACTGATGATATCTTGATAGTGGTCTCAGGAACAATAATATTGTTTCAAATTTTGCCATAACTACATGGTGATCTTTGGTTTCTAATTTTCATCATAATATAAAGAGATTATTTGACTTTTCACTCTCATTCTCTTAACAAAGAGTTCAAAAATGTAAATCAATACTGTTTTCTGACACATCTTTTTTCTGTTTTAGAAATCACAGCTATTTTTCATCAAAATATTATTTATTTATGTTGGCACATAATGAATTTTTTAAGTGAATTACACTTAGTTTTTTCCAGTTTATTTTTTAATATGGTAAATACTGATAGACATAAATCTCCTAAGTAATAGTGCTTTGGCATCCGGATCCCCATAAATGTTAAGAGTAGAAAGAGGGGATCTAGAGATCAAAAGTTTGAGAACTATAAGATTAGGCAAACACAACAGTCTATATTTTGTATCTATTCTTCAGATGTTATTTTACATTTTAAACTCCTGATACTGGTTTTAATGCCACTTCCTGAATTGAAGTACAAGCATGAATATTGGCCGGGTGCAGTGATGCATGCCTATAATCTCAGTAGCTCAGGAGGCTGAGACAGGAGGATTGTGAGTTCTAAGCCAGCCTCAGCAAAGGCAAGGCCCTGAGCAACTCAGTGAGACCCTGTCTCTAAATAAAATACAAAATAGGGCTGGGGATGTGGCTCAGTGGTCAAGTGCCCCTGAGTTCAATCCCCGGTACAAAAAAGAAAAAAAAAAAAACCAGAATGTTGATCCTTGACGCAAAAGCCAAATTTTTAAACTGATTGATAACTACAGCTTTTTAGAATGTTGGTTAAAGAAAACCTACTCCATAGTAATAGCTCCATCAGCCACAAAATCTCATGGCAGCTTTCACATAATGATGAGTGAATAAACAAGATACCACTTTCTTCATGAAACATTATCTTAGGTTTGTTTTGTTTGAATATGGTTTGGGTTTTATATTTTTAAAATCCCTTTTGCTACCCCATCTGGTTTTATAAACTGAGTTTCTTAACATTTATTATAATTAAGGGGCTTGTCTGGAATAATATATATTTTTATGCTTTTGCCTTTCTTATATGATTGATATTGCATTCACCTTTGATCATTTTTAACAAAGGTTTATTTTTGCAGAATGTATTTAGTACCTTTCTTAAGCAGTAACTAAGCTGAATCAACTAGTTTGTATTGAAATTAAAGAATGGACTCAATGGTCTTCCAGTGGAATGCTTTACAAACCTCCACATGCAGTGGTTGTGTCTGGATTCCTGGAACTGGTACTTTTTGCTTCCCTACTCTAAAAGTCACAATAAATCATATTTGTTTAAAGAAAATAAAATGATTTATTCTTTGCCCATTGACAAATGGAGATGTTGTGTTTGTTACATTGCTAATGATGACTTCTTCAAGACTGATTTGATCCAATAACTGTGGAGGTAGCTTTAACTTGGTTCTATGTAAATAGCATGTATTTTATTCTAACATTTCACATTTTTAAATGCTTGGTTTACATTAAATTATGGTATTTAACTATTTTTATGTTTATACTAGGTAGGGATTTTCTTATGTTTCTGTGTTTTTAGTATGCTAAATAAAGCTATTTTTAAACCCAAGAGGCCTTTTCTGCCATGTGTTAATCATATTATGGTTAAATGATAAACATGCTGCATAAGCTCTTATTAAATTTGTTCTTTTTGATAAGGTACAATGATTATGTTTCCTTTATTGTGGACTTAGGGAATATTGCTCAGTAAAGAAACCAGAAATCACCTGGTAAAAACCTCAGGATGTTCTCAGCATAAAAAAGAACTTTCTAGGCTCAGGTATAGCTCAAGTATAGGGGTTCAATCCCCAGTGCATACATACATACATAATAAAAACCTCTCTGTACTACTTTGGAATGACCCTGGCATGATAAAAATGAAAACACTTGCCAAGTGCAATGGCACACACCTACAATCCCAGCAACTCAAGAGGCTGAGGCAGGAGGATGGCTAGTTCAAAGCCAGCCTCAGCAACTTAGCAAGGCCCTAAGCAACTTAGGTACCAAAAAACAAAAAGAGAAGAAGAAAGAAACAAAACACTAGTACAAAGGAATAGATTGAAACCCCCCTATAGTGTAGTTTGTCGAGCCCTGGAAATGGTGGCATTTGCAGATACCAAAAAGCTGGTTTTATCCTGCTTAGCAGAACAGCTTGCTCTTGACATTTGAGAAGATGAGAAAAGAAAGCACAAGATGAAAACATTGTGACCACAGGGCATTCTCCTAAGTATAGCCACCTCAAAGAGTAAATGCTAGTACATCATGTCATTAGGCAAGCAAATGTAAATATAAGCTGATCTTTATGGTATAAAAATTAAAACTATGTATTTTATATTCAAGGAAAATTTTTAAATATAATTTATGTCTTAAGTATGTATTTTATAAGCATACTTCCCTAGGGACTTGTCCAAGAAAGCATAAAAAATATTTTTTAAAATATATAGCAATTTCAACGAGACTCAACACCTATATCAAGACATTGTGGACTAGGAATGGTACAGCTCAGTAGTATGGCACTCACCTAGCATGCAGGAGGCCTTGGGTTTGATTCCCAGCACAGCAAAAAGGGGGAAAAAAAGACAGTTCTAGCACCCCAAGGATACCTCATACCTTCTCCTTAAAGATAATACTATTCTGAATTCAAGAAGGTAGAGCAGAGCTTGGTGGTGACCCCTGACCCCCTCCACAGCACAGAAAGGGGCAATGAAGGAACAGCTGACCAGAGATGTAGGTGATATAAATGCTAGAAGACCCAACATTAGACTAGACCTGGAGAAACTTGAAGTTCGGTTACCATAGCAGAAAATAAGGGCAGAGCTCCTTGACCCTGAATCTGGACCAGTGTTGGGGGGGAGGGCAGAAACCGAGACCAAAGGAGAGGAAAAGCACATAAGCTCACTCCCTAAAAAACATATTGTCTGTGTCCAGGTCTCACGGGCTGGAGGGGGGCAGTGGGGAAACAGACCAAGTTAAAACACAACCAGAGCAGTGTCTGGGTCATTAAACATCAAGTAGTTTAAGCCAAATTATGAACTGAAAACTGTGCAGGGCATAGCAGTCATTTTATGGAGTCCACAACTTGTCAGCCTCCCAAGAAGAAGTTAAATCAATATGGCATCTCCCCACTTGAAGGGAGTAATGAAACCAGAGGGCATACCCCTGCAGTCAGATGTTTCAATAATCCATCTAGAAGGAACTTGTAAAGGGATTAGTTGAAAGTTGTTGAAACTCCTCCCCCTTAGTGCCAACAAGGGGAGTGGGCTGGAGTAACCTGAGCAGGAAACTTGGGAAGGGCTGGCCCTGACCCAGTGCTCTGCATCTGCACAGACTCTATGGGAGGGCAGAGATGGAGCAGACAGATTCATAGTAGTAGGAAATGAGAGTTCAGAAGCAGGCTGGTGGGAGCAGTCACCATCTAAGACAGAGAAGGATGGCACCAAGGATTTGCAGCTGCAACCCATGAGACCTTGGACACAGACAAGATAGTTGTCTCTGTCCTAGTCAGCCAAGGGGTGCAATGCCTATGGTTTACAACTCTAGGCAGTGATAACTCAAAACTCAGGCAAAC